ACAACCACAAAACATCTGGTGAAAGTAATGTTTCTCTTTTCAAACCAGTAAAGCAGCATTTCACCTTTTCTTGTAGGTTAAAAGAAATGCATTTTGAACAGGGAAGTAGATGCTATTTCTTTCCCTCTTTCATGCATTCTTGCCTTGAACCAAATACACATGGAGGTAGAGGGTATTACCAGGAATCCTTGTTACCGTACTGGAACAAAACAGCTGGCAAGCAGCACATCCATCATCCTTGTTAAACAACTTGAAGAGCAAGAGGAACTGGGGAACAGCTCACTCTTAGATGGCTAGGTTCATAATATTTCTAGTCTTATATTACTCAGTAGAACAAGAACATGAAGACCTGACAGAGAATGCAGCTGATTCCTATAATAATTCTTTTGGATCTTCATTATTGATCCACATTCTGAGAATCTGTTGTCTAGAGCTGCTTTGCAAAGTTAAATAGTTTCATATCACAAATGTTGGAAACAAAATTACACATAAAATGAATAATGCCTTTTGTATCTTTCCAGACAATCATGAGCATCAAGACTCCAGGCATTTGTATCATACATTTGCATCACACAAAGCTTTCATATGTCACCTAAAAACTATGTAATATCATAGCCATGAACACCACAAGGTGACATTCTCAATATCTGTTCTGACTACCAGGAAAAAATGAGGTGCTCAGTTATCAGGCAGTCAGAACCCACACCAGCCTGGCACCAGAAGACTGGGCAGAGCTTACGGAGCCCATTAATATCCCCAGCTGTGAGCCTCACTTGTTTCTCTGGGAATTATTCTTAAAAATCAGCCTCTAGAACTAAAGAGAAAACCAAGTAAAATTTTTCCGATTTAGAGATGCCTGGTTTTATTTCAATTTTCAGACGTCTTCTGGATCTTTACTCTCCCACACGCCATGTTAAACTTAGCTGCAGCTGTAATACCCTATGGATATTCACCTGGTGCAGCTGACGAAATACCTCTCCTTTATCACTGTATGAATAGATTACATGTTGTGCTGACTAACTGACAGCCCTTCCACAAAAATTTCCACTTGAATTCCAGTCTCACCTATGAGAGGAACACACTCAAGCCACTGGAGACACCTGAAGGAAGAGAATTAGAAAAGCTCAGAGAAAAAGATCTTTAAAGATCACCGCATCCAACGGTCTGACCACATCAGAGCTCACCAAAGTTACCAGAGCACGGTCCAGAGGGCACCGACCAGCTGATCACTGAACACTGACAGGCACAGGGCATCAACCACCTCTCTGGGAATCCTGCTGCAGGGTCTGACCACCGTCCCGCTCAACAAGCATCTTCCAACGCCCAGTCCGACCCTCTCCTGGCAGCTCTGTGCCATTCCCACCCTGCTATCGGTTCCCAGGAGCAGAACACAGCACCTCTCTTTGCTTCTGGCTTCTCGGCCGGGCGGTTCTCGCGAGAGCGGCTAATGGCGGGTCGTTGCCAGGGCAGCGGCTCTGCATCCACCGCCTCGCCTCGAAAAAGCCTCGGAGAGACGGAGAGGAGGAATCAGGGTGTGGGAATCAGCTGGGCTGATTTATCGAGGAGGAACTGTAAGCCACTCATACACGGGGCTACACTGCGAGGACGGTGGTTAGCACTGTCAAGTGAGTGATAAGTGCGCGGGCTCCCGTTAACGAGCCGGCAGTGGGGCGAGGGCAGAGCCAACGCTACCGGCAGCAGGGCGGTGCTGATCAGGCACACCTCATTAAGGCTATGCGGTGGTGTTAGTGTGCCTGCTGATGGCGATGGCTGCACCCCGCGGAAGGCTATGGCCACAAAAACTGTGGAGACCCAGACGGAAGTGCCATGTTCACGCAGAAAGAGGACTGCAGCCAAAAAGAGTGTGGAGACCCAGGCTGAGGTCCTGTGCGTGCTTGAAAGGAACGCTGATGCTAAGACAAGTGTGGAGACTCAGACTGAGGCTCCAGCATGAGATGCTGGTACGCAGGTCACTGGCTGTCACGAGTGCCAGAGCCTGGCCTTTGCAGTGCGATGGCAGTGGCGCTTGTATAACTGTGTGACTTACTCAGCCTTGTGGTCGACCTGAAGGAGGAGGTAGAGAGACTGAGGACCATGAAGGAGAGGGAGATGGATTGGTGGTGCTGATCCCTGTCAGCCCCGAGATCTTGGCGCACAGCACCGCATGGAGCACGTTACCCCCTACTGCCTTGCAAGCAGGTGGGAAAGGGGAACCGGCAAGCAGACAGTGCTGCAGTGAGCCCCCTGTCCTCTGTTCCCCCTAGCAACAATTTGAGAAAGGAGGAAGAGTGGAAACGGGTACCGGCTCGGCGAAATGGGTGTCCCTCATCCCAACCATCCTTGGCTCCCCAGGTGCCTCTGCACCATAGGTTTGAGGCCCTGGAACTTGAGGGAGAGGTGAGTGGGGGTGTGGAGGGAGGTCCACCCGTGAGGTTGCCTGCCGGATGAAGCGGTCGACCCTGCGCCTCAAGACTGCCTCCACCTGGAAGGACAGAAGAGTGGTTGTCGTAGGCGACTCCCTGCTGAGAGGAACTGAAGGCCCTATATGTCAGCCTGACGCTACCTGTAGGGAGGTGTGCTGCCTCCCTGGTGCACGGGTCAGGGACATTTCTGGGAAACTTCCTGGACTGACTACCCCTTATTGATAGTTCAGGCTGGCAGTGATGAAGTCACTGAGGAAAGCCTCAGGACTATCAAGAAAGACTTCAGGGGCCTGGGGCAGGTAGCTGATGGAGCAGGTGTGCAGGTGGTGTTTTCTTTGATACCTTTAGTGGCAGGGCAGGATGCTGAGAGGATCCAAAAAACCCACCTCATAAATAAATGGCTTAGAAGTTGGTGTAAACACAGGAATTTTGGGTTTTTTTGACCGCAGGGCAATTTCATAGAATCATAGAATCATAGAATCACTAAGGTTGGAAAAGACCTAAAAGATCACCCAGTCCAACCGTTCACCTATTCCCAATAGCTCCTACTAAACCATGTCCCTCAACACAACATCCAGCCTTTCCTTGAACACCCCCAGGGTCGGTGATTCCACCACCTCCCTGGGCAGTCCATTCCAGTGCCTGACCACCCTTTCTGAAAAGTAATACTTCCTCATGTCCAGCCTGAATCTCCTCTGCCGTAGCTTGAAACCATTCCCCCTGGTCCTATCACTAATGACACGAGAGAAGAGGCCGACCCCCAGCTCACTACAACCTCCCTTCAGGAAGTTATAGAGAGCAATAAGGTCTCCCCTGAGCCTCCTCTTCTCCAGGCTGAACATTCCCAGCTCCTTCAGCCTCTCCTCATATGGCCTGTGTTCCAGACCCCTCACCAGCTTTGTTGCCCTTCTTTGAACACGTTCCAGGGCCTCAATATCTTTCTTGCAGTGAGGGGCCCAAAACTGGACACAGTACTCGAGGTGCGGCCTCACGAGTGCTGAATATAGGGGAACAATCACCTCTCTGCTCCTGCTTGCAACACTGTTTCTGATGCAAGCCAGGATGCCATTGGCCTTCTTGGCCACCTGGGCACACTGTCGGCTCATGTTCAGCCGAGCATCAATCAATACCCCCAGGTCCATTTCCTCTACGCAGTCCTCCAGCCACACTGCCCCAAGCCTGTAGCGTCGCCTGGGGTTGTTGTGGCCGAAGTGCAGGACCCGGCATTTGGCCTTGTTGAAACTCATCCCATTGGCTCCAGCCCAGCTCTCCAGCCTGTCCAGATCCCTCTGTAGGGCCTCGCTACCCCCAGGCAGATCCACACTTCCAGCCAATTTGGTGTCATCTGCGAATTTACTGAGGGTGCACTCGATGCCCTCATCGAGGTCATCAATAAAGATATTGAAGAGGACAGGCCCCAGCACCGACCCCTGCGGAACACCACTCACGACCGGTCGCCAGCTGGATTTAACTCCATTCACCACCACTCTCTGTGCCCGGCCCTCCAGCCAGCTCCTTACCCAGCCAAGAGTGTACCCATCCAAGCCTCGGGCTGCCAGCTTCTGCAGGAGAATGCTGTGGGAGACAGTGTCAAAGGCTTTGCTGAAGTCTAGGTAGACCACATCAACAGCCTTTCCTTCATCCACCAGATGGGTCACTAGATCATAGAAGGAGATCAGGTTGGTCAAACAGGACCTGCCCTTCATGAACCCATGCTGGCTAGGCCTGATCCCCCGGTCACCCTGCACATGCCGCATGATCTCCCTCAAGACGATCTGCTCCATAACCTTCCCTGGCACCGAGGTCAGGCTGACAGGCCTGTAGTTCCCCGGATCCTCCTTACGACCTTTCTTATAAATGGGAGTCACATTGGCAAGCCTCCAGTCTTCTGGGACCTCACCAGTCAACAAGGAGCGCTGACAGATGATGGAAAGCGGCTCGGCTATCACCTCCGCCAGTTCCCTCAGCACTCTCGGGTGGATCTCATCTGGCC